ATTTCACAGCTGGTTATCGACCCAAGCTCGAAATTTTTTCAAAACAACCCATTTCCTGTCTTTTGAGCCTTATAACTTCCGATGCCCTGAGCGGATAAGAATTGAAGGGGAGAACACACGACAGTCTTTCGAGCCGTGTTTACTCAATTTTGGGATCTAGCTTCTGAGCTTCGACTATGCTATCAAATAGACCTAGCACAGCCCACAAACAAATTTTGGGAGGTAATGGTTAAGAGACGCGTTCAAGATACTCAAAATACATGCATGTTTCACGACGGGCGCGTTGTTTCATCGGGGGCACAGGCATAGTACAGACAAGTCAACTAAAAACTCCCCAACGAGAAGGTTCCTAAACTCATTCATGATATCATTCAGGGTAGTGCCGTCAATTTGGCAACTAATCGCGGTACACAGCTGACTTTCTGTACATATCAACAAGCTATCATTTGGCTGCACATTTAGAGCAGCTATAGGATAAGATTCCGGGGTGTCCGCATGGACAGGCTGATCAATACAATCCACATGGATAGGCATGAAGTTATTACGAAAATGAGCAAGCGCATGCTCCAACATAGAGGGGCTGGGACCCCCTCGGTCGGGTTCAGTCATCGGTATGGAGTGTGTCGTGTGCGACATAGAAGTAAGGAATTACAGCCGTTTTCATTTCGATAGACCAGTTTCTGCTTTCGTGGAGCAAGAAACTCTGTTTACTTTTTGAGCCCCGTTGGAGTGCGCGAATGCACTGGGAGGGTCAGAATCCCTAATATGGAGATGTCATGGAGTCAGGGACGAGCGAGCTCGTGGATCGCTCAGGACTACCATCCTGTTATCTCTTCGGGCAGAAGTATGCGATAACGGGCTTTAATTCTGGTCTCAAGGCTTAGGTATGATGCTTGAACCTCAAAGATGTAGGTGACGTGTATTTTCAGAGATGATAAATCAATCTTAGTCAAGATTGCAACAAAGAAACGCGAAGGGACGAGAGGACAACAGCAAACAAGTTATGTGTCCCATGGGGAAAACGGTACTAAGTTCACTGCCAGTAAACAAGGCTCCACGCTCCACAAGAGTGAAATCTGGTCTATCGAATTGAAAACGACTGTTATTGGAGTAATAATATGCACGTGACTTGCGCAAAAGCTCGATTTTGGCAGGCGACTCGGTGACACGAAGTTAATCTAAGACCCACTACCTACGGTACTATGCCGGAACCCGCAATGAAAGCCGACACCCGCAATGAAATGTAGGCTGATCCGACTGCCCCTCCCCTGTCCCTTGGCGTATACCTACAAAAATGAACATGGGCCATCTAATGTAACTACTCTATGACTGTATCGCACGGCTTGGTGAAGAAATCAAAACTACAGACGCTAGGCACAAAACATTCGAGGATTCAGTCTTTCTTTTCATAAAACTGCTCAGAGTAGGTACCTTCCTGTATTCTGTTCGCCACGAAACTTGATTGGCTTCATATTCCATGTCATTGGTGATGCATATCGAAGTTTTGGGGGAAACAAGGATTTTCTGCACGAGTGGTGTTTGTCGCAAACTCGAAGCAGGGAAACAAAGGTTAACCGTGACTCTCGCACGGCATCGTCGTGGCAAAGTTGTATGGACACATTACAGCTTAAGACTTCATATGTGGTTTCAGAAAGTCCCATACTATGTCTAACAAACAAAAACAGGGCTTGTTGAGGGCCCGAAGCGAGAGGGAGAAACAAAATATCTGATTTCATTTCATTGCGGGTCACGGATTTCATTGCGGGTTCCGGCATAGTAGCGGGAATTGAACCGTGGCAACACCAAGGTCTCGCAGACATTCCCACGATGCTACCATAACCAGTCATTGCAAACGTCGGCTTAAGGCCATCTCCGTTTTGCTACTTGATGGTAGTCTTATGATATGTTGAAGGAGAGTCATTGGTATAGTCAAAAACCCAAAGGTGACAGTCAGAAGTCTTTGACTCCATCTGATTAGCTGCGACTATCCTATTTACTCACGTTTCAAGCAAATGCTGGTAACGAAGAGTGACTCGGAAGCGTGATTCTGACCAGACATACTGTCATTGGTGACTGAATGCAAGATGAGATATTCCCCACATGTGCCATGAAAACCTCAAGCGGCTGAGCCAAATTTATGCTCATGGTTGTGGAGCTATTGCTTTCCTTTCACTTCATCCCATAACCTGAAAAATGGGTGATGTTCAAAGTATGCTGGGGTAAAGACACCGTCCTCGATCTGAAAATCTTGTTAGTGATCCAGAGCATGTAATGAGGAGATTTTGGGCAAACAGTTCCTATGCATACTCACCTTGGAAGTCTGGGCAGAAGAAAGACATTCAGCTTTGGTGCTTGTCGGCTGGACTGGTCTTAAAATTGCTTCGCGCTGGTCACATAAGACTTCCGTGAGAGGCTCGGATGTTGTGATACGCGGAATACAGTCTAAGGTACTAGTGTTGTGCTTCACAGCGCGTGATATGAGAGCGTTGCAAAATTCTGTGTGGAAATGAGGGTCATGCCGGCGTTGCTTCGATTCCGGGCATGGGTTGATTTTGCCATAGCTATGCAGCCTGTCGCTGATGGTAAAGGCATTACCACGAGTTGGCAGAATGTGCTCCCCAAGCCTTTCATCCCCCTGTTAGAGTATCAATATATGCACATGCAGGAGGTGAGTAGCGGAGTCTCCTTACTGACATTTGTTGCATTTTGAATAGAGGTATAAGACGCAAGCTTTGCAACAATAGCATCACACCATTTGCTGGCATCGGGGATCTCCCTTCCAATAGGTCGTAACCGATACCCAAATCCACAACTGTCAACGGCCTCTATCTGAGATTCTTGATACACCTCCCAGTTGACTGGGTCCAAAAGAGGGTCAACGCTGGAATCGGATAGATTATCATGCAGGCTAGCCTCACCTACGTCCTCGATCCTCTTCACTCCGGATGTGACGGACTGGAACGTGACACCGCATTGCTGCTCAGCCTTCCTTCTGATGCCATCGTCATGTTCGCTAGAAGACCATTCCGACCAAGAGTGCACTTTGCACAGCCAATCCAACCACAGGTAATAGTCAAATGCAGGCGACCGGCCGGAGCCTGAGTCCGACATTTCCTCGAAGAAGCTATCGCGCACTCTATCCATGTACCAAAGGGTCTGAAGCAGCCTGAATGCAATAGGCTTCGCTTCGTGTGAGGTTGACGGTAGCTTGGCAATGGTGAATTTGAGGAGTTC